CGGATCGGATTTCCTACATTTTTCAATCGATTTCAACAAAACTTCACAGGACTACGTAAAATTACCTTGCGGTGGTTCTGGCAGCGCCAAAAATTGGAAAAACAGAATTGTTTTTACACGAAATCAATTTGAAAACACGATTAAGAGGCATCGCTGTTTCGAGAATGAAAGGGGGACAACTCATATCGAGTTATACTTATTATAAAACCCAGGTTGTTTGTTTGTGTGTGTGTGTGTGTCTGTGTTCGTTTATATATGGGATAGGATTTCTTACATTTTTCAACCGATTTCAACAAAACTTCACTTATTTTTGGCAGGTAGTGTTTCTTATTGTCTTGCACACTTTTTTCTTTATTTTTACAGTCAGAATGCTTTAAAAATTACATTTACAAGACAATTGTTTATAATAAAATTCTATTCAATCGGTAGACTCATAACGATTGAAAACAATGTTTTTGTTTGAGTTTGGGTTTGACCAATTCGTAAAAAAAAAAATAAAACTAATTAAGACATCCGTGTCTGCCAACCTTAAACAATAATCTTTGTCAATTTTATTTTTCAGTCTTTATGATGGTCGATACTTGATCTATCTCTTACTGTTACATCCCCGGGCAACGCCGGGCTCTACTGCTAGTCTGTTAATAATAGTAATTAATAATAGTAGTTCTGACCTAACGCACGAACAAATAGAAAATTCGGATTTAAAGAAAGTATGAGAAATCGGAGAGCCGAGTTCGAATTCAAGTTGAATCCATTACATACACTTACGTGCTAATACTCTTGGGAAAGGTATGAATCCTCTTCTTCTCCCTCCAGCTATGTGTAATTAACAGGACAGACCGGGTTCTATAACTTTGAATGTCAACTGGTCTAGCACGAAATGAAATGGTAACCTACTGCAGTCATGAAATGAAAATCGCCTAACCTATCACGCAAGGAAAAAAATTCACTTACGTGCTAATACCCTTGGGAAAGGTATGTATCTCATTTCTCTTCTTCATATATGGGTAAATAGAGGACAGACCGGGTTCGCCTCTGCGTGTATGGTCTACGCAAAAAGAAATGGCAATCATAAAAAAACTGACTGATATTATCGAAAGATACATGATCGCCTAAGCGTGTATCACGCATGACACATACATATTCACCAATACCCTTAGGAAACTCCTCTTCTTCCCCCAGCGATGGGTAAATAGCAAGACAGACCGGGTTCTATAGCCTTGGATGGCAACTGGTCTACTGCAGTAAGAAATGGCAACCTACTGCGGGAAAAAATCTGCCTCGTCAGTCATGTATCAAAAGATACATGATCGCCTAAGCGTGTATCATGCATGGCACATAACTGACTGAAATTCAGTTATGTGCCAATACCATAGGGAAAGATATGAATCCTCCTCTCTTCTTCCCAGCTATGGGTAAATAGCAGGACAGACCAGGTTCTAAAGCCTTGGATAGTAACTGGTCTACCGCAGAAAGAAATGGCAAACTACAGCGGGAAAAAAAACTGCCTCGTCAGTCATGTATCGAAAGATACATGATCGCCTAAGCGTGTGGCACATATCTGAAAGATATAAAAAGACCTATTGTAATTCATTGCCTTGCCAATGAACCATCTTCCAGTGTCTTTATTGAGCCTATTCATTATAAAAACGATAAGAAATAATTCAGTCAGTTATGTGCCATGCGTGATAGATGACCGACGGGTCCGATTTCTTCCCTGTAGAAGGTTGCCATGAAATAAAGGGTTCAATTCGAAATTCCAGTCGCCTGAAGAAGGCCGAAGTGTAAACGGCCGAAACGTCGTGAATATAGCAATAAAGATGAGGACAACAATCCAAACAATGTAAATAGTTACAAAACGTCATCTCAAAAGTATAGACAGTCATCTTATGATCATGAAATGAAAGTAAGGATCGAAATAAGAGCGAAGGGGTCAAGTGTGGGATTAGGTTAGAGTAGATTAGGGTGTTTAGTTAGGGAACAGGGATTATCTCTTAATCTATGTAATATCGATCCTCTTTCATGACAGCGAATGTTAGACAATTTCCTCGTGGACGAAGAGGATGATTGAGGCAACGGAGATGTGGTTCTACAGAAGGATACTGAGAATGCCATGGACAAAACATATGAAACCTTTATTAAGTCCACAGGGGTAGATTGTTCTAGTTACACCTTTGTATATCCCAGTTTAACTTAATTCTCCTTGATAACTCTCCAATTTTTTTTTTGGTTCTCACTGCTCTGGCCAGGGATTGAACTCGGAATGCTTTGGGTCAAGTTATTTTAGGATCAATCAACCAAAGATTTTATCCACTGGGCCATGTTTACTTTGTAACCTGAATATCAGCTGAAGAAGGCTGGAGCGTACAACGGCCGAAACGCCGTGAATGCAGGAATAAAAATGAGGACAACAGCCCGAACAATATAAATAGTTACAAAACCTCATCTCGAAAAATATAGACAAAGATCATTATTATTATTATCAAAAGTATTTGAATGATAAATAAATATTATTAGGTGGGGGGGTGGTGTCTATACAGAACAACTTATTCAGAAGTATACAGAAGGGGAAATTAAATTAAATTCATATATACACAGTGTTACGGGATTTTTTTGTCAGCTACGTGTAGTTATGGAGAAGTTTGAGATGAAGGGTTTCAGGTTCGTTCACTGCGCCTGTTAACCCAATCAACCCCTAACTTTATAGCCGTCATCTTATGATCATGAAAGAAAACTGAAGATCGGAATAAGAGCGAAGGGGTCAAGTGTGGGATTGGGTTAAAGTAGATTAGAGTGTTTAGTTAGGGAACTCTACACCGGTATATGAAATAAAGGGTTCAATTCGAAATTCCAATAACCTGTAGAAGGCGGAAGTGTACAACGGCCGAAATGTCGTGAATACAGCAGTAAAGATGAGGACAATAGTCAGAACGAGGTAAATAGTTTCTTGGTTTGCCAATAAAACATACTTAGTGTTGTTATGCCTATATTAAAAAACATATTAAAAACATATTAAAGACATATTAATAAAACAATACCGACATATTAAAAAAAAATAAAGTGGAGACAACTCACAATGCCGACATATTAAAAAACATTAAAAATTAGAAAATAAATATAGATTTTTCCACATATTAATTGCCATCCTTGTATAGATGCATACGAGCGTTATAGAATGTGTATGTGTGCGTATGTATCTCTCTCTCTCTCTCTCTCTCTCTGTGATAGAGAGAGAGTAGGGGGAGATTTTGACTGCTATTGGCATTCGATGAAGTCTTGAAAGAGTGTTATAAAGAAAAAACTGCTTTTTAAATAACGTCGTTTCAGGACATAGGCGATCATGTATAGCCACAGATTTCTCCACATATTAATCGCCCTCTTTCTCTCGAGGCACATAAGAGATAAAAACTCAGTGTATGTGTGTATGTGTGTGAGTGAGTCTGTTCCACAAATCAGCAGTTGTGGGCAATTATGACTCTTCACAGATTTCGTTGTCTTTATTATTCAAAAATTGACCTGCATTCTTGAGAAAGATATTGAAGTGGTTTTCCGTTGCCTTCATCTCGTCTTGGAATTAGGAAGTTTCCTTCTCTTGAACCCATTTACTATATATTCTCTAGTTTTATTTCTATTCTCTAACTTTAAAATGCAGTTTTTCTTTATAAAACCCTTCCATTTAAGCCTTCATCGAATGTCAATAGCAATCAAAATCTCTCCCCTACTCTCTTTATAACACACACACACACAGAGAGAGAGAGAGAGAGAGAAGAGAGAGAGATATACACACACATACACATATTCTTTAACTCTCATATACAACTAGACAAAGATGGCAATTAATATGTGGAAAAATCTATGGCTCTCCTGAAGCGATATTGTTTTTGTTTTCTAAATTCCGTGTTTCTTTATCCAACTCTTTCATTAAGCCTTCAGTAAGCGTCAATAGAGTCAAAATCACACGCACGCAGACAAACAGACTCCTCTTTTATATGCATCTGGAGAAAGAGAGCGATTATACACACACACACACACACACACACACATATATATATATATATATATATATTCTTAGAGAGAAAGCGGCAAACGAATCAGTGGCAGGTGAAAATTTCTTCGATTATATTAATTTAATCGCTAGTCATGTCTGAATGACACAACGTTTGCTGGCCAATTATGACGGAGAGAAACAGATGAATAGGCGTTTCAAACACTAAGGAGTCTTTCTTTTGCCGAAAAAACGGATAAAGGCGGATTAAAGATTATCGACAGTTTATACCGGACGAACTGATGTATGCATGTCGGTTTTGACACTTTATACCAAAATTAGTGTCTACTCTCTTTAATTTGATGTGAAGGCCATCAGCCTTGATAGGCTGTTTATCAAAGAGGTTAACTAAATTAAATAAATTGCTCGATTCCACACCTTCATCTCTCTCTCTCTCTCTCTCTCTCACACACACACACACACACACACACACACACATACACACAACACACACACACACTTTCCTCCTTTCTCTCACTCCCCCACTTTCCCTGCTCTGCGATTAGCTGAAAAAGAAGGAAATGTATATTTCGCCGAATGCGGAATATGAGTAAAAGTAATAACTAATGAGTCTGATCTATGTGTTTTCTACGACTTACCAACTCTTTGCAGGTTATTTAAAGCCAGAAAATATTTTTAGACAGTAAGATTTTTTTTTACATAATAATTTCTTACTGTTACAAGTTTTACTAATTAACCCATAGCTGGAGGGGGGAAGAAGGGAATCCACATCAAGGTATTTGTGCATACGTGAATATAACGAATTCGACCGGAATTGGAACACGACCCTCCGATTTCTAATTCCGAGCCATTACTCTTTACACCACCCGCACATCCAATATGATCTCCCAATCCCTACAATCTTGATCTTTTTATGTTTCCGGTTAATCTTTCCGGCATAAAATTCATTTCTTGCCTTTTCTTATGTTTGTACAACAACACTCGCATATCCAAGCTTACAGCACCTGATATTCTCAAGCGGTCACCCATCTAGGTACTGACGAGGCTCGACGTTGCTTAACTTCGGTGATCATATGCCCTTTATACCAACCACACACCCAAGCTTATTACACTTGGTATTCCCAAGCGGTCACCCATCAAGGTACTGACAAGGCTCCACGTTGCTTAACTTCGGTGATCATATGCCTTTTATACCAACCACACACCTAAGCTTATTACACTTGGTATTCCCAAATGGTTACCCATCTAGGTACTGACAAGGCTCGACGTTGCTTAACTACAGTGATCGTACGGAAACCAATGATTCAGCGTGATATGGCCGTAAGTGTAATGATAATATGAGGATTGGAGGGATAAATAACATTTTTTTTTTGTTAGGTGCTGGATCGCAGTTTCTTCTCTGTGCTGAGTCCCTTCAGAACATTTGCGATCATGGCTCTCCACAACCTCTCTCTTATTGCTTTTAGCAATTTATTTCCTTTTGCTATAGCTCCTGTCCCAAGTTCTTCCATCCATTCGCACTTGTCAAATAAATGGTTCTCTGTCTTCCCCTATACCTGTTGCCTCGTGAGGGTTAGATTTTCCAAACCCTGCTTCCTCAACGAAGTTCAGCTATATTTTCTTGATTCTAAGTTCTTTATGTTGCCATTTTCTTTAAAACTACCTCGTTCCTTACTCGTTCTGTCCATAGAATTCTCAGAATCCTTCCGTAGAAACAAATCTCTGCTCCCACCAGTTTTCTCCTCATCCGTGGGTAGATTGTCCAGCATTCACTGCCATAGAAGAGGACGGATATCCACATACCAATCACTAATGCGTAACAAGAATAGAAAGGAGGAAAGTTTACTCGGCTTAATTGCCGTTGTTCCCAGGTCCACCTTGACCCGGGTGGTAGCACCTGTTAGGGTCACAGCTATGGGAAATGGTGAACCCTCAAACAATAATCAACAGTCCATTTTTATAATAATATGACTAACAAATACATTTTTATATCCAAATGACAAGCAGTGCAACACTACATATATATATATATATATATATATATATATAAATATATATATATATATGTGTGTGTATGTGTGTGTGTGTATGTATGTATGTATTGATAATATTAATGGCCAATATATATATATATATATATATTCATACATGTTGCATTAAATAATATAGACAAGTTGTCTATGTATTTAGGTAACATTTTTTCATTCATACATGTCTCGTTAAATAATATAGACAACACTTGTCTATATTATTTAATGAATAAACACACCTAAATACACAGAATATACATATATTTATATATATATATATATATATATATATATATATATATATATATAAATTCCCAAGAAGATAGAATCCAGGGAGAACTCAATGTCCAGGACAGAGTAAGAATATAATATAAAAGGCTCAAACACTAATATTCCATGATTATAATGTAATAACATTGGAATCGTAATCACGATGCAATTCATCAGACCTACAAATTCAAAAAGAAATCGGGAATTAGTGTTTGAGCCTTATATATATATATATATATATATATATATATATATATATGTGTGTATGTGTGTGTGTGTGTGTGTGTGTGTGTGAAGTGTATATAAATATAAATAAATATATATATGTATAATTATTTATATATTATATGCGCGGTACTTATTAGAAAGCGCTCAATATCAGAGATAGAGCTAACATATTTGGTTGGATAGATCACATCTATCTAACAAATATATATATATATATATATATATATATATATATATATATATATATATATATGAAGAAATATAGTCTTAACATGTGCTATATTTATGGGATAAAGTGCTCAATATCAGAGATAGAGCGTGTATAAATATAAGTGAACATGAACATTAGGGCGACAGTCTGTTTCACACTAGATGCAATCGTCAGGTGGCCTGAAGATTGCATCTAGCATGAAACAGACTGTCGCCTATGTTGACTACTATGTTCACTATATATATATATATATATATATATATATATATATATATATATATATATATATATATATGCATTTTATAGTAAAAAGTATCATTATACATTTAATGATTTAAAACTATATATCTAAAAAAAATATACCTTTTACCTTGAAGGTATAAAACTATGGAGAAAATATCTTTAGTTAAAAGCATAAAATTACGTACAAAATATTTAGATTTCGGCATTAAATAACCCAGAGGGGTGTTGATATGCCGCCAAATAAAACCAACCAACCAAATACCTGATCGATTCGCTGAGCTCGTAAATATTTTTTGTGCTTTTTTCTTTGTTTGTTTGTCTGTTTTAATCCTGTGCATTTGGTAAAACCTGAATTAGAAGGAGATAGAGGACAATCAATTTCTTTTTCTAGATCTGAAATTAACGTTTTATTACGAAAGATATCCACAACGAATAACTCGATTCATAAAATGAGAAGTTTCTCGGTCAAGGCTTTTCACTGTCAAGATTTAATTAATACGCGCTTCTGAGTGAAATATTTGCTTTGCTTTTCGAAATTTGGGGGGTGCAGAATTAATTTCAACATCACCCACCGCGACGCGAATGAGTCCGAACTTTTATTGTCGATAACTCTAAAACGGTAGATTCTTACCAAAATTTCTTTGTTATTTTCGAATTAAGCATATACCCAAGTCCATCCTTCAAATTTATAAATCAACTATTCGCCCTTACATGGAATATTGCTGTCATATATGGTCTGGAGTCTCCGATGTTCGTCTTAGGGTCCTCGACAAAATCCAGAGACGGATATGCAATGTGGTTGGCCCTGATCTGGCATCTCGTTTACAGTCGCTCTCTCACAGACATGCCGTCGCCTCCCTCTGTCTTTTCTGCAAATATTTTCACGGTAACTGCTCCGACGAGCTATTTTCGCTAGATCCCAAACTGCATGGATTTAAACGTGCCACTAGGTCGACATTTCAGCGCCACCCTTTCACTGTTGAAACGATTCTACTCCAATAGCTTCATGTCTCGCACTTCCCGTCTGTGGAACTCCCTTCCTCTTAATTGCTTCCCTGATAGCTATAAACTTCAAATATTTAAATGCAATGTCAATCGACATCTTCAAATGCCTTGATCTATGCAACGCCCTTCTCTTCATCCTTTCCGCTTTCACGCCTCTTTATTCTCGCTCCCACTTTCTGTAACCCCTTGCGTACTTGTGGCACTCCCGCCTTGCTTGGGGTGAAAAGTTTATATATATATATATATATATATATATATATACCTAACTGGAACTATTCGGGAAATTTTTATTAGAAAAAGAGCGCGAGACTTGAACTTCAAATTACCCTCGAGATGAAATTAGTTATGTCACCCAAACTTTTATGCCGAGTCACGTCAATTTGATTTCTTTCTTTAAGGAATCCGACGAAAAAAAAGACAAGGTGTGTATAACTTGGTCGATGGTTCCTCAGGTGAATATATATATATATATATATATATATATATATATATATATATATATATATATATTCTTCAAAATGCGTGTGCATGTATGTATGTGTATGTATGCGTGTGTATGCATGTGTGTGTGTGTGATCGGATATTGTTTACGCATTTCATATAATTTTGATGTTTTTTTTGTTTGATAGATATTTCTTCAGCGTCGGTTTTGAGTCCAAATTGTTGGCGAGAATGGCTCTCCACTACTTCCTGTCCATTATAGCTCTCAGTAACGTTTTACTATTTACTATCTGTTCTTAGGTATATATCTTTCATAAAAACGTTAATAAAAAAAGTTTAAATTATTACAATATTATTATTTATTATTATTATTATATCCCCCCATTCAAATATTTTAAATCCCCCCCCCATTCGAGGTGTGCCTCAGTTGCAGCCAAATGTTGTTACTAATATTGATTTTTGGGTGGGCTGATCATATCATTCATATACAGGTTCGGGGTTAGTGTACCTTTTATTGAAATTGTTTGCGAAGATGTATTCTCGCCATTTAAAATCATTAACCTCTATATTTGTTTTTTGTATGAATGATTCATGTAATTAATTATATATATATATATATATATATATATATATATATATATATATATATACCAAGAAAAAAAATTTCCTGTAAATTTTTTGCAAATTGTTAAAAAAGGCTTAAATTCATGCGGTCAAAGTACCAAGGAGGGCAGCTTAGGACCGTTGATATATATATATATATATATATATATATATATATATATATATATATATATATATATGAAAATATATAGAAAATAGGAAGGAACTGGTTAAATAATCCAAAGTCACTTAGTATTTTTAGTTATTATTTTTTTTAAAAATAGTGCTCGATACAAAAGTAGAGCATAAATATAATTATTTATTTAAAAATATGATTCCAATTCGCGACATAATATATATACATATATATATATATATATATATATATATATATATATAATTAAGAACCCGACCAACCAACTAAAATCAAAGCTTAATAAACTTATTAATGCTAATAATGCTGAACAGAACTCTTTAAAACTCCCTAAAATTGTTGGTGATTATAGACATGGCTACATAAACGGCACTATAAAAACACATAAACCTAACTATCCTCTCCGTCCTATCATATCGCAAATTCCAACTCCTGTATATCATCTACCAAAATGCATTAACCAACTTATTACTCCCTACCTTCCAAGTAAATATAGTGTTAAGTCAACATTAAAAGTAATCCAAATCCTAAAAAGTGAAAAACCCAACAAAATCATGGCTTCACTTGATGTTGAAAACATTTTTTATATATATATATATATATATATATATATGTAGATACATAAACATATATGAATATTTTAGTCTCTCCCGTCTTTTTCGATAACTCAGTTCTTAGAACCAACAGCTAGACTATGCACACATATAATTTTTTGATTATGGGTACACCCAGAAATTTGATTATATTGTTCACCATTATAACGTGAACCAGCTGGGAAACAGAGAACTGGTGCACAGTGTGTCGTAAGGTCCCCAAAGAGCCTTGCGCAGGATTTGAATTCTGAGTTTTCCTTCTACACACCGTTCATCATCTAAAACTATCCGACCAAGTGTATCCTGTTATTATTTTAATATATATTTTGTTATACGTTATTTAAATATTTGTGTCTATATAAATAACGTATAACAATAATATATTAAAATAATTGTCGGACTTTGTCCATTTCGGGTAGTGTATGATGTCATTCGATTACGTTTAGGTACGCTTCAAGCCGATATGGACGTTCAAGAGAACTCATGGGAAGCTTGTAGTTTAAAAGCAGTAAAATCGAACTTGCTAACCAGACGCTCCTCTGTAGT